CATCGGGAGGCTATGTTTATTAGAAGCCATAATGCGAAAATGTCTATAAAAACTGCTATATATATGTCTCATATATATTAATAAAAAATATTTCAAATTGTATATTTTATTAGAAGATGTTGCTGGGATGGTTAAATACTGTTTTTTTGTTTTTTATTGGCTGGCGCATCTTCCATAATTTCACCGCGTATCCATACAGTGCTGTACGATTTGAGTTACATTTTTTGAAATCTAGATACATATAAACACATGTGTTATCTATGATCTCTGTGATTCTTGAGTTTATTGAAGCGCGAGTAGTTTAAATAATTAGCAAATATCTACGCGCGGTATCGCACATAGGAATATACGCACGGCTATGGGCGGTAAGAAAGTGTACATATAAACTATCATATGGCGCGAACAATTTGAGTTAAATTTCAAAAAATTTAGATACATATAAACACATGTGTTATCTATGATCGCTATGATTCTTGAGTTTATTGAAGCGCGAGTGGTTTAATTAATTAGCAAATATCTACGCGCGGTATCGCACATAGGAATATACGCACGGCTATGGGCGGTAAGAAAGTGTACAATTAAACTATCATATGGCGCGAACGATTTGAGTTACATTTCTAGAAATCTAGATACATATAAACACATGTCTTAGCTATAATCTCTGTGAATTTTAAGTTTATTGAAGCACGATTAGTCTAATTAATTACTACGGACCATTGTATAGCGTATCCATACAGCGCTGTACTTAAGCGGCAGCGGTGTGGATCCGTTTGGAAACAATATGGTTTCTAATTGCGAGTTGTCGCAACTCTCAATATAAAGGGACTCTAGCTTCATCGAGTCGTTCTTGAGCTTCTGCCACAACATGAGCATGTGCACATTCCGTGTGCCTTCTATGCAAAGCCACGCTGGGCTGGCGGGTATATAAGTGCGGCATATGACAGTTAATATATGACTTGAGCGTTCACACCATGGATTACGACTGTATTTTCGTGGATTATTTGTATATAGTATTGTGGTTGCTGGTGTATAGTAAAAGGCTATTATATAGCCAAGTGCTGCATAATTCCGTATTGCTGTTTCTGTCACTATCGTGGTTGGCCATAACGGAACATGCCTGGCAGTCGAGGTACAAGATCCGTCGTGTCACCCCTGTGGGATGATCACGGCCTGATCAACCACCCGCAAAGGGGAAAACGTTACAATATGTAGCTCCGTGAACTGTGGTTTATATACTAAGACATATTTCGGCAGAAAACTAAAGCTTACCAAGTTACAAACTACGTACCTTTCCGGGGTTTTCCCGTTCTTACGATAGTTACTATAGTGGTAGTGAAGTGGACTCGCAGCGCTTGTGTGCATCTGTTTGTGTCACGATCGTAGATGAATAAATGTACGTAGCAGTATGAGTACTAACGTAGCGACGAGTGAAAGTATGACACATTCTGTGTGAGGAGTGATACATGTTCTTTGTGTTATGTCTGCGTCGTAAGAACAATAACATTCATTGTATAGGTTTAATGCTGGTTTAATAACTCAAACAACAGGTTACAACTTAAACACGGCATCACAGCCAGCGAGGCTGGAGCTGCCACAAACGTTGTTGAAGTGTTCAGCAGTGCCAACCATCTTCTGTCATCGCAGATCACCACAGATGAGAAAATCTCCAAAGAAACGGCATTCCACATGCACTTCCGAGGCTCGTACAAGTGTACCCCTGGATCCTGGCTGCTCGGAGCACAACTACTGTCTCTCTGTTTTTCCGGAAAAGGGGTCAAGTGCTTGTAAGTTTTTTCTCCCTCTCTCTCTCTCTGTCCCTCTATCTCTGTAATAAATTGAGTACCAGTTGTGTTTTTAAAAGTAAAAATGTGTAAATGATGGTACCTCGACTGGTTTGTAGTTAACCAACGTAATCTGGTCGCAGTACTCTCTTTGGTATCTTTCCCATATTAATTGCTAAAGGTGTAAATTAAATTTTACCTTTTACAATTACATGTACACAGTAAAACCTTGTTATACCGCCACCATCGGGACTTGGTAAATATTGACGTTATAATGAATTTTGCGTTATAACGAGGTATAGAAATTACAATCTAATATCACCACGAAATAATTTTACTGTATGTATGTAATCAGACGTAGATAATAGGATTCCCTATTATCTACTTCTGATGTAATGTTAGTCAGGTTCTCTCTTTCTTTAACAAAATGAAGTGGAATGCATTTTTGTTTATTTAACGTTATTACAATTTTCTTTCAGTAAGAAACATGATTTCTACATCTGAGCAGTGATTGACACACTTACCCAATCCTGGGAATAGTCTTACATCATATCTTTCTGGCCTTATTAAAAATTGATTTAGTATGGTACAGGACGCCAGTTTTTTATCTTAAGGTAATCTGTGGTAGACCAGATTTCCCCCTTTTTGCATTCATATTACATGACACAGAGAAATAAATGATTCATGCATGGTTGTTGTTGTACTTATTATTTTTTTCTGACTAAAGAAACTAACTTTATTTATTTCTATTTATTTTATTTTCTTGAAGCTGAAGATAGTACCACTGATGCAGATAGCACACAAGAGGAGATGGTCCAATGTGCAGAGAGCAGGCCACAGGTGGAAATGCAGAGAAGAATCAAGGAGCTCGAAAGCGAACTTCGCAAGACAAAACGAAAATGCAGAGGAGTCATGAAGGCCAAAGCAAGACAGGAGGCAAGGGTTTGTAGGATCTTTGCAAATGATCAGATACAGTCTCTGTCAAGAGGAGGCATGAGAGGTGTAAAATGGAGAGCAAGTACGGTAAAGAAAGCCTTGCAACTACGCTTTTCCTGTGGATCCTCGGGGTACAAGCTTCTTCTCCAGCAGCACTATCCTTTTCCATCAGAAAGAACCCTGCAAA